ATATTTTTAAGGCAAGGCCAGATAAATTTTTGAACGGTAAAGAAATTAAGGGTTATGGTGAGTGGGCGGGTAAGTGGAGCTGAGTCTCAAAAAGATCAGCCATGGTCTTAGTAAATGGTGGGGCAGGCTCAAGGGGCCAGATGGCCTACTCCTGCTCCTAGTTCTTATGATCTTAATCTGTAATGATAGATCAGCACTTCTACAGGTTTGCAGCTTAGACTGATAGATTCCTTGTCTGTGTGAGTCAATGGCTAATCAGGAAAGCAGTGAAGGTGCCAGGTTCGTGTGGCTCTTGGTTCCTGAGTAGATAATCACCCAGAGTACCTGGACATTACCTGGTGACATGCTAAAACCACGCATGTGTACAAATAAGATGAGGGCTTTCCTGTGACGTCACTGTAGCTGAATTGCTTCCAATATTCATTCTCAAGGATCACATAAAATGAGGAGAGACTGAGTAGACTGGGGTTATACTCATTGGAATTCAGAAGAATGAGGGGAGATCTTATAGAAACATATAAGATTATGAAGGGAGTAGATAAGGTGGAGGCAGGGAGGTTGTTTCCGCTCGCAGGTGAAACTAGGACTAGAGGGCATCGCCTCAAACTAAAGGGAAGCACTTGTGTGTGGAAACCAAGAAATATACAACACCAAAAAATATTAAAACATGCGTTGCAGAAAGGAAGACTGCCTCTTACATTTCTCATTGTTCAGCACATTGTGTATGATTGTGCAGTTTAATGTTGTTTGAAAGAACCAGCATCACTTGTGGTTTGTATACCAGGATACACAGGTGTTTACAAGCTGGCAAACATTTCTTTTGAGAGCTCAGGTAAAATATTACATATAGTCAAAGAGTCATACAGTCTTACAGCACAGAAAGAGATCTTTCAGTCCAACCAGTCCATGGCAAACATAATCCCAAACTAAACTAGTCCCACCTGCCTGCTCCTGGCCCATATCCCACCAAATCTTTCTTGTTCATGTATCCATCCAAATGTCTTTTAAACATTGTAATTGTACCCACATCCACCACTTCATCAGGAAGTTCATTCCACATGCAAACCACCCTCAGTGTAAAAAAAATTGCCTCTTACGTCTTTTTAAATCTCTCTCCTCTCACCTTAAAAATGTGTCCCCTTGTCTTGAAATTCCCCATCTTAGGGAAAAGCCAACTACCATCAACTCTATCTATATCTCCCATTATTTTATAAACTTCTATCAGGTCACCTCTCAACCTCCTTTGCTCCAGTGAAAAAAGTCCCACCCTATCCAGCCTTCCTTTGTAACTCAAACTTTCCATACCCAGCAATATCCTGGTAAATCTCTTCTGAACTCTCTCCAGCTTGATAATATCCTTCCTATAACTGGGCGACCAGAACTGGACACAGTATTCCAGAAGAGGCCTCACCAGTGTCCTGTACAAACTCAACATAATGTCCCAACTCCTATACTCAAAGGACTGAGCAATGAAGGCAAGCGTGCCAAAAGCCTTCTTAACCACCCTGTCTATATGTGACACAAACTTCAAAGAATTATGTACCTGCACCCCTAGGTCCCTATGTTCTACAACAGCACCCAAAGTCCTACCATTAATTGTATAAGCCCCACCTTTGTGTGTTGTACTAAAATGCAATACCTTGGATTTATCCAGATTGAGCTCCATCTGCCATTTTTCAGCCCATTGACCCATTTGATCAAGATCTCTTTGTAATCTTAGAAAACCTTCTTCACTGTCTACAATGCCATCAGTTTTGGTGTTGTCCACAAACTTGGTAACTATGCCTTCTATTTTTCTCATCCAAATCATTTAAATAAATGACAACAAAAGAGGGCCCAGCACCAATCCCTGTGGAACATCGCTGGTCACAGGCCTCCAGTCAAAAAAGCAACCCTGCACCATTACTCTCTGTCTCCTGCTGTTAAGCCAATTATGTATCCAACTAGCAAGTTCACCCTGAATCCCATGTGATCTAACTTTACTAATTAGTCTACCATGCAGAATCTTATCAAAGGCTTTACTAAAATTCCAATAAACAATGTTTACTGCTCTGCCATCATCAATCTTTTTGGTAATTTCCTCAAAAAAACTCAACCAAATTTGTGAGGCATGATTTTCCTCACACAAAAGCATGCTGACTATTCCTAATTAATTTTTGCGTCTCTAAACGCCCATAAATTCTATCTTTTATAATCACCTCTAACAACTCACCTAGAACCGAAGTCAGACTCACAGGACTGTAGTTCCCCAGTTTCTCCTTACAAACTTGCTTAAACAAAGGTACAACATTAGCCACTCTCCAGTCATCAGGCACCTCACCCATAGTTATAGATGATCCAAATATTTCTGCAAGGGGTCTCATAATTTCCTCCCTTACTTCCCACAGTGTTCTGCGATACATTTGATCAGGTCCCAGAGATTTATCCACCTTTATATTCTCTAAGATCTCCCAAATTTCCTCTTCTGTAATGTGAACTATTTTTAAAACATCAAAGCTTTATTTCTCTGCATTCTCTGGACTCTATTTCTTTCTCCACAGTTTAAACTGATGTAAAATATTTATTTAGTAGGATAAGGTTGCTATAGTTCTGCTTATACTTTTTGCCTATTCTAAATTCATACTAGAACTTGAAATCTATTCATCGCAGCTGTAAAATATTTACCTGCTTCTCCTTTAATACTTTGTAGTCTCACTCACTCCACTTTACAATTTTGCACAGTAGACTTTAATAATCTTTTCCCTTCAACTCAGCAGAAATGCCTCACCCTTCTTTAATCTTTTGACATTTTGCCAGGGCTTTAAGTAACCCATTGTCAGACAAGTTTCATCTTCCACAAAGAACATTAACTAGTTACCTTCAGCAACATATCGGAAATCATGGAAATACTTAGGATATTCCCTTGTCTCAAATAATCCTATAGATGTTGATACAGAAAGAAGTAGAAGCTGTAGATGTCCTCCTGAGAGAAGGTTGAGAGAAGATTAGATAGAAACTCAAAAGCATGAGGGCTTTGTACAGAATAGACAGGGAAAAGTTATTCCCATTGACAGAGCAGTGGAGAACTAGAGGACATAAATTTATGCTGATTGACAAAGTAAACGCAAAGAAAATGTAAATAAAAATCTGAAGAACTGCAGATGCTTGAAATCAGAAACAAACACAAAAATTGCTGGAAAAGCTCAGCAGATCTAGCAGCATGTGTGAAGAGAAATCAGAGTTATGTTTCAGGTCCAGTGACCCTTCCTCAGAACTCAGAAAAAATATGTTGATTTTTTTTCTTTTTAAGCAGCAAGTCATTATGAAATGTGAAAGTGAAATGCAATGCCTGAGAGTTTGGTGGAGACAGTTTAAATTATAACTTTCACTGGGAAATTTGGTATGCCTGAGGAAACAAAATTGCAGGGCAAGGAAGTATCAAGGGAATACTGCTCACTAAATTTCTGTTACAGAGAGCTAGCATAGACACAATGGGCTAATTGCCCCCCTTGGTGTTGTATCTCTCGTGTGATTCAATATGTTATGTGTACTCTGTATCAGTTAGCTGTACAAGGGACTCTGTTCAAATCCCATTCTCTTGCTTTATCCTCACAGCCTTTAAAGTGGTTCTTCCTCAAACATTTATTCCCTTAAACATGTCATGCTTAGTTGTCCTTTAGAACAATAATAACTGCATTTCAAAATCAGTAATTGTTTATACAGCATTTCATGATGTTTCTGAATGACAGCTATATGAGATAAAGTGTACATTTTAGTAGACATACCCCAGCAGGCCAAGCAGCATCAGAGGAGCAGGAAGGCTGACGTTTCGGGCCTAGACCCTTTTTCAGAAACCTTCTTCAGAAATGGGGGAGGAGAAGGGGGTTCTGAAATAAATA